AGTGATTGTCATTATTATGACTCAATTGATGGCAGTCTTTGTCATACAATTGTTGGCCAAACTTCTGCTTCCGTAACCGTTTTGGTGACAAATCACTGTCCGAGTGGTCATCTCTGGACACCTTTCTCACCGTCTTTTGATGATATCGTTGGCGAATACTGACTGTCAGTTTGTGGTCAACAGATCCGTCGGTCGTCACATCTTCGGCGTCCACTTCAACACCACTCTTGTTGTCATCGTTTCGTTTCTTTGCATTCAATGAGCGCTTGTTTTGCGAAACTTTTCTCATATTTTCACTTAAATTAAACACATTTTAAACACAATTTAAATGCAATTCATTTGTATTTCAACACAAAAAATGTTGAAAACTTGTAATGAAAACAATGGATGAAAACCAATGAAAAGTGTGTATTATTTCCTCTACTTTAAGCGCTTCATTCAAATACTATGATATCTATAATTGAAATGATTATTTGACCACAACTTCTACACCACTGTTGATAAACTACTTGTAATTATTGTAAACTTTTCTTCCTATTAATACATTTGCCATTTATTGAACAAATATTTAATCATATAAATTGATATATGTATTGATTTAGCGGTTAAAGTCACCATTTGTTACCCATCTATGGATCAGAGAAAGCCCTTCAAATAACGTATAATTTTTTGTTGAAAACTTGGTTGAATTCTAATTCATAGTAACTTTTTTACAAACTATTTACAAATATTTATGAAATAATTAAATAATTGTTAAGAATTTTCAAAATTAATGTTTATTATATTGAAAAATAATTAATTGACAATAATATTATTTGTGCAGTGATTACAGGAGTTAATGAACTATACAATAGACTATTTAGTGATTCAATTCATATAAATAGAGGTTTTGAAGCACTCGATAGGGACTTATGACCAGAATTGATACAACTTTACGGATACGATCGCCGCCATCACAAGTGTCCACTTTGTCGCGGCTCTCAATCGGGCGTCCGATGAATCCGAAGTCTGAATTAACTCGTTGTTGTAATCAGATCCGGAGCCCCGCGTCTGAGAGCACTTCTGACAGACCGGTTCGTCGGCTGTTGTCTCACATAAATCGCAGAACTAATTCAAAAACACAAACAATTAGTTGATTTCAATTTATATTTGTGAGTGAATTGTATGTAAACTATGTATTCTATGAAAGTCAATCCCTCACATGCAATGTGTTTATATTTTTAACAATATGGAAAATTATATCAATTTTTAATTAAAATCAGCCATTATTTCAATATTAAAAAGTAAGTGAAACATGGATTCAATTCAATGTAATAGAGAGCCAAACCAAAAATTCAACCAAAAATAACATAAAATTTATTGTTTTATTAAAACTGCGGTCAAATTACTAACGGTAACGAGTTTTGGTTCATATAATATGCGAGATGTTTGTTGCCTATCGTAATAGTCATATACAGTGACGGGAACCGCTTTATTGTTAGCCACTCTGTGGGTTCTGTGGGCCGGAACTGTCAGACAGATCTCATCTCTTGTTATCTATAAAAATAGAGTTTATGTCCATTGAGTCAAATGGCAAAGAATCGCATCAATTAATGACTAACTCTATCGAAATATATGATGACATTAGTATCGCCTTTAGAGGTGTCAATACGTTTGATTTCTTTAGCGCGGGTAACGCTCGGCAATGCCTCCACATCTGCCACATAACCCGACGGCAGTTCCACTTCCATTACTGCCATATTTGTCGCATTTCCCTCTTTGTAACTATAATTTAGGTAATAATACATTAAAATATACGTTCAAACCATAGATTAAAAA